CCATCAGCCACTGCATGTACAGCATTAGTGAAACTGTAAAGTACTACTGCATCTGGCATGCTAGGGGCCATGGCTTGTTTGTACGAGGTCACAGATGCATTTTGGAGCATTAAGCCCCATCGGTTAAGGGAATTAGCTGATGGGGCTTGTCCATACCCTATCCCAAAACAGGATTTTAGTTTTCTGTCTGCCAATCACATGTACCATATAACAGCAAAGTAAGTTCACAAATGCCACACAGTTTCATTTACAAACAATTCATTTTATGTACTTGCTGTATACTGGTATTTCTGACAGTGGGCAACATGAAATTCAATGAGCAACAGATATATAAGCAGGATCTACCGTAGTTCTTTTCAACACCTCCTCACAGTCTGAGATGTAGAGTACCACCTACATGTATAGGGCACCACTACAATAATTTTCTAGTTTTCTATACTGACTATTTTCATCTTATAATGCCAGTGTGAGTAACTTTTTCAGACACTGATGTACTTTCACTTAGCTCCAAGATTAACCCCCTCTCCCCAAACCAAATCAAATTCCCCTCATAAATGGAACTGTTCATGTATGGTAAGAAAATCATTTATGTAAGCTGGGTAGCACCAACAGGAACCTTCCAAGGTTAAGAGAGAAGGTACTAAGAAGGTACTAAGAATTATTATGGAAATTGCCTCATTCAGGCATTCAATTAAACTGTAGTTGAGGTACAGTGTACAGAAAGAAATCACAAAAAAGGCCCTTATCTTTGTCCTTTTCCTAAGTCACCATTTTCCTATTTGAGCTGCTCCCCAGTTAACTGAATACCTACGACAGGCTCTCAATGTTTTAACAAATGAACATGGAAATATGAAGGGAGGAGGGGGGGAAGAGGAGAGAACCCAAAACGTGTTCCCATACTGTAGCTTTTTTTCAAGTTTGAGTTGCATGAAGCTAGTGTCAGTGAATCTGAATTGTGAAAGTTAGACTTGCGAATTAACATTTTTGTTGCTTAAGGTACTGTAACACAAAATGACAGCTATTAAAGAACTTCAGATTTTCTCAAACAAAAGATTTATTTGAATCTTAACAGCAAGATTACAGCTTAGCGTCTTTTCGCAACTTCTTCAGTTCAGCTTTGAGAACCCGGTTTTTCTGTTAAAACAAAACAAAAACTTTCCTCAGCCATTGCATTCACATTGAGTCCCTGCCAACAAGGAAGGACACTTACAGCTCTCTGTGTATTATAAGCTACACTTCCCTTAACAACGGAAGATTGCCATCACAAATGAAGCAAATAAATAAAGAAATGAAATAATATAAGATTTTAACCAACAGAATATACTAGCACAAGCTCAGTGTGCTTTCATTTTGGTACTCACAGGGAAGAAACCAGATTCAGCAGATATGTCAGATGATATTTCAGATGTTCCTTCAAAAACAATAATTCATTGCAGGCTTAAAATCATAGGAATATACTCTCCTCCCATTGCTTCGGCAGGTTTGGTACTTAGGTGGAAGCCACCTTTCTGAGCGATCGTAAACGGAGTCATGTAACAGTCACGGTAAGTCTACCACCTGTACGTTTCTTTTAAGTGCCAGCGGTTTTCCAGTTATAATTAAATTTCAACCTACAACCTGCCACCTGCAAAAAAGACCTGCCGTCTGCCTGAAGCCAGAATAATACGAGTCTAATTTCAAAAAAAGGTTGAACAGACTGTTAGCACATGGTGCATTTGGATTAAAAACAAAAATTGCAAAATTGGTAGACAAAACAGCAAAGGCCTACCTTCTGCTTGGCCAGCTTGAGCTTGAAGCGATCAAAGTCAGTGAGAGTAGTTCGCTTCTTTTTCGTGACCAGTTTCTTAGCCCATGCTGTCTTCTCCCATTTTTCAAGGATCTCGCCTTTCTCAAAGGCCTTCTTAACTGGGCCACTTTTGGCAGAGGGGCCAACCTTGACCTTGAAGTCGGTCAGTGACAGGTGCTTGAAATTAAGGGCCTTGCGGCAGACATTGGTACAAGGCCCATCAATCAGTGCCTGTTTGGAAAGGCTTCAGTTTAGTTCTCTTGACAGACTCAGACTAAAATAAAATTCCAGTATAAAAGCAAGGGTGCTCATATGCACATGTACACTGTACATGTACATGATAAGCCAGTTCAAGGCAACACAAAGACACAGTGCTTACAGATTTTGATCAATATTAAGCTTTTACCAATACCAGCTTTTACTGACTTCCAAGAGGATGGATAGGGTCAACCTCGTGTTAATCTTATCGTGGTTTACATGGGTATATTTATGTTTTCTTAAACATTGTGTTTTCTTAAACACAATAAAGACAAACGGACTAAACACTGTTCTCTTATAACTATGGCACCCACAGTAAAAGCTCAGCAAGACTCATTAAATCTTAATTTAATTTTCCTGATTCCATGTTGGAATTTGCTGATGATGTATTTTCAAAAAAAAACACAAAAGATTGCTGATAAAGATAGGCAATGATGATGTTTCTAGAGAAAATGGACCCAAAATAATTCCCAAGCAAAGTTTTTTTTTCCCCAGGCAAAGTTACTGTATTTTCATTGTTTAAGAAAAACACGGATGTTTTTGTGAAAATGTCATGGGAAGAAAAAATATGGTAAGTACAGGGCTGTTTCTTGTTGAAATTGTAAACAATAAGTTTGGCACTGGTTCTTTTGTTGTTGTTGAAGTAGTAGTTCAATATTGTAAGCTTTCACCAGAGTAACATTAGCAAATAAAGTGCTGCTCAACTGTTGGGTCCAGGATTTGATTCCCTATATTTCTTTCACAATGAAAATAAATCAAGTTTACAGGAATTTATGAATACATGTACTGGTGATTCAATTTGAAGTTTGCAGAATTCAAAGAGGAAGATTGGCTTAAATGAACTGCCTTCAGATCGGGTCAGCAAACATTTATGTTAACCAAAGTTTACAAGTATGTTGGAAAGTAAAATCAAGTGTCAATAATTACTCAGACACTCAGTCTTCATATGATTCCTGATTTCAGTATATTGTGACCCATTCAAAAGATTGCAACACTTATGGTAACAAAACTATAGCTAACTACTTTAACCAAACAAAAAAAACCCATAGGATGGTACAAGAGTCCAACAGTCCGAAGGAAATTCTGATCTTACATGTAACCAAACAACTAATTATGTACTGGGCTCTCAAAAAGTAGAAAACGTAAAAACGTGAAAATTAAAACGTCGACAAACTGCATTGATTTAACCATGAAATAACTTTCTCTGCTGCTGGGCACTAAGTTAACATATGAGTTGCGATTTTATACTTCAGCCAAACTTGGAGCTTAGGAACTGAACTTCATGATCAGCAAATAGTCTTAAGTACAGTATGAACCAACTGATCAGCACATGAAATACTCGGCGCAATTAACAGACTGTAACAAAAATTTCTCCAAAGTCACAGAGTGCACTTGCATAGCAAACTCACGTACTCGATTTTGATCCACCACATCTACGATCACACACAGTTTCCCCTCGTCGGGTCCCGAGTTTATGAGAGCCACACGACCAATTTCCACTAAACGCTTGTACACCTGAAGGATTCATCCAGAAAAGATGAGCACAATTAGACATTACTAAGGATAGTTATTTTGTCGAATACTTGGCAATGTTTTCACACGTGGACTCACCATCTTGGAATATCGGCGAGAAAGGACGAATTATTAGCAAAGCCCCGGATGTGTAAGGAACGGGGCGCAAAGCATTGTGGGTGTACTGGAAGTTAGCCGCTGGTTGGCATAAATGACAGCGCAGGTGAAAATTGATAATAGCACTTTCATGTAGGTTATGATGGGTCGAAAACTGAAAGCCGAAAGAATTTGCGAAAAACTAAAATCGACAAGCAAAAGTCGATTAAGTTGAAAACGCAGCTTTATTTCTAAGGTTAGGCCTACCGTCCACACTGATCCGTCACGAAAACGGAGCTTTTCGAAAACGCTCTTCAAACCGGAGGAATTTGACAAGGCTGGCTTTACGTTTTTATGCAGACGGAAAACATTTTAAAAACGGAGCGTTTCGAAAGCAATGGCCTCACGATAATCGTGTGCTTTCCCTGACCAAACAAAAATACAAAATGACCAGTTATTGGTACGTTTTCAAATTCCCCCAGCATAGTGTGGACAGAAAAAAATTGGGATGTGTTGTCAATGTGAAACCGTGGCTCCGTTTTCAAACTTTCCCCGCGTAATGAGGATGGGGCCTGAGAGGAAACTGGCGCAAGACTCTAGTATATTCTTTTTTCCTCTCGCTTTTCCCTCGCTTCATTTTCGCACGAAGAAAGAAGGCATTTTTGACAACCTTACGTTTTATCAAAAGAAAAATTTTAAAATGCTCAACAAAACAAGAAGTATGATGTCCACGGATTTCGTCCCTAGTAAACTCCTGCTAATGTTGAGTACAATAAATGAGCTTTTTTAGTTTTCAAACATGTTACTCTGTTCGCAGTCCCACTATCGTCCTTTAATTAGAATCAGTTACCGTAGGTTTTCAAATGCCTCGAATAAACGCCGAAGGTGTTAATTTAACACCCATTTTATTCAACGTACACGTAGTTACAATCACGGTCTAACAGGCTAACACCTACTTTTATACATTAGCATGCAATTTTATTAAATTATTATTATTATCCAGCAATTAAGTCTGGAACAGGGTATGAAAGTATTCCCCGTTTGAACTGAAAAAAAAAATCAAAGATTCAAGTAGAGGACTCAAATGCACAATCAAAAATACTGTCCATGCAGATTAAACGTGTCAACCCGGAAAATCCAGTTAGGATCAAACTAAACTAGGAATGCAAATATAAAACGGGATTTCACCTTTTTTTTAAGGGAACGTTTGTATCTCATTAACACTTAGAGCTCAGTAAAGGGTTATGGTTGTTCTTATGAATGCACCGACAGGCTTATGTTGAACACTAATCTGTGCAAGCCTCAGTTGAAGTGAAGCACCGGGGGGAGAAAAGCCGAAAAGTCCAGGACGCCCTTCGAACGCTTAGAAGTGTAAATCACGGATTTGATCTCACTTGTACTTGGGATGTTCAGGTGAAAAAGACACTGTTTTTAGTTGTCGACTGATCCCCGACCTTTTCAAATGGGAATCCCCCCGGGGATGGAGCATCGTGCATTGTCGGGGGTACGGGTGTTATCGATTGAACAAATTTCCACATAGCGATCACGCTATCAGTAAGATCGGAAGTTTTGATTCTTACAAATTTGTTCTTAGAGTCAAATAAAAGTTGGCTAAGTTTAAAAAGATAGGAAAGCGCTATAGAAATACTTATTAAAAGAAGTGCAATAGTTGCGTGCCTTAAAATTGAATAAAAGGACTGAAACA